CCCCGACACCTGGCGCAGCGTCCCAGTCAGGCAGCTGCACAGAGGCACTAGACTTAGATCTTTGTGCAGCCCATTCACTCAGTTCTGCAGAATATTCCAATTCAAAATCGCTCGATCTACTACCCATAAGGCACACAGGAAAGGCATGATAAACCAGCTCTCTGACAGATACAAAGTGCAAAGCCAGTTCTCAGGACAGTGCATTGAAGAAACTGGTCAGCCCCAAATGGAGGGTCAGCCCAGCAACTTTACAAGCCGCTGCACTTGCACTTTGTTGTCCAGCAGCTGGTTCTGCACGTCTAGTTTGGCAAAGCTTGGCACATGCAGAGACGGTGGACAGTGCTGAATGAAAGCTGCAGGTGCATCACTGGATTAATTTAAACCAACAAATGTCAATGGTCACCACTTACTCGTTGGATTCATCCCACCGGACATCAGGGCAGCAGCACCAAGCAAAACAATACACGTGGCAGATTGAAGACAAGCAGCACCCGCCGCGCGGCCACAGTGCAGCTCCCAGGAGACTAAAACCGTGGAAGTTTTCTCTACAGCACCACCACTGGGTGAGACACCAACAGCCACACTAATGAAAGCACGGCCATCACAACTAGAGATGACCCAGGACGGAGTCAGGATGAACATCAGAACTGCGAAACTTCCCTGCAGCCGCAGAGCGTGACTAGCCAATGTGGAGGAGCTTGGACTGCATCCAGACAGGGGCTGGTGAGAGTAAAGTGAAGATGCAGCTGCAGGGACACTCCAGCAACACAAACACCTGTGCAAAATTGGAGAAAACTTTCAGACTACAGAACACCTGCTGTCCTGGTCACATACCAGGAAACTGGGCCAGTGAGGACCTTGCTAAGGCTACAGATCGAGCAATAGCGTGCACCCATTTGTGGATCCAAATTCGAACACGGTGACAGGACACACAAAAGAGAAGAGGCAGACATGACAGACCTCAGAACAGAGCTGGCAACGGAGAAAACTCATTAACTGTGGGTATGTGTAGGGTGCTGCAGGGGTTGGGTCCAGGCTCAATCCCGTTTATCATTTTCAACAGCAACATGGAGGTCAACCCAGCATTGCTGCTTGTAACCTTGTGGCTGACACAAAGGGGCAGAGCGGTAAATACTGGTGAGGGCAGTCCAACAGAGTGGCTGGGACCACTAGGTCAGCTAGGACCATTCATACCAAATGCTG